GAGAGAGAGAGAGAGAGAGAGAGAGAGAGAGAGAGAGAGAGAGAGAGAAGCTCGATTGCTGGTGAGAGCGTGTGCGGTGGAACGAAAGGCGCGAAGAGGAGAGGTTAAAGTAAGTTGACAATTTCCTTGAACCCGTATTACCTTAAGCGCGAGTTTTGGCGATAATACGGTGGCCCAACGGGGCGAGGGGTGCGGTTGCCTAACGGGGCGAGATTACCGAGACGCCAAGCGCAAAAGCGATGAACCAGAGACTGATTTTCTTTTTTATTTTTAGCTTAAACCACGGCGTATTGAGCCAGATAACTGGAACATCATACAAAGTAAAATAATCATTGGAAATAATGAGAACAAAAATTGTTAAACTTTCAATTATCTTCATCTAAACTCATGTCTCAAAAACAATTAATGCAGGTAAACTCGCGATCAGACGTGCGCACACATTTGTCATGAGCCATACGGCTGCATGACAAGCATTTGTTTGTTAATTTGAGCCGACGAAACGGCGTGATGTCGACTTTGTCCCGGACGTCGTTTTTCACTTTTGTCACTCCAAAAACAAAAAAACAAAACGTGAAAAAATAAATTAAAAAAACAAAAATAAAAAGTAAAAAAAAAAAAATAAACAAATAAAAAACAAAAAAGATGGGATTAGAAACTCGCTACGTCCTCGTCGTTAGTTCTGGGTAATGCTAAAAGCGAGATTTTACTTACAATTCTATTCAGAATATTCGGACCTGCCTATAGTACATTGAACATCACACTTTTTGTATTTTTTACTATGTTTGACTACAATTTTAAATTTTGTTGTTGTCAACATACTCGTAATCAGCTACCCAAAGAACCTTCTAACTAGTTTATTGAAAAATATGTAAAAATTGTAAAAAAAAACTAAGTAGAGAAAGGTGACATATGGGTATGTCACTATGCCGCAAAGGGATGAATATACACTATATGTACTGTTTAAAAGTTTGGAAGCACTACCTTTGTAAGAAAAACAACAGTAGTGCATATAAAATTCTTTACATAAAATTTTTCCTTGGAAAATGATTAGAAACTAATATTATGTTCAATAGTCACAACACACAGTAAAGTTTTTCATACATGACGTTTTTTCTTTAGAAGTATTGACACCACTATTGTTTTTCTTAAGAAAGTAATGCTTCCAAACTTTTGAACGATAGGTAGTGCATATATTTTTTTTCTTATGTAGGTAACATTTTTATTGCGAAATTCAAATAATATCTTGTACCTGATCGATGGGGAAATCATAGGAGTTCCTCGACTAACAGGAAATTCCACTGGCGGGTATAAATTAGCAATTTTCGGCTGTAAGCCACAGTTATAGAGCCTTCCAATTCCTTGCAAAATTACATTGATATTTTGTTCAATGCGTCGATTTAATACAACGTTCGTCACTTCTGGATGCAAAGATTCTTTTAGAACGTGCTGCAGAACGGCGTGTGGTGCGATTTCGATGGTAACTGCGTTACTTGGAATTAGATGCGTTGTTTGTTCAAATAAAACGGTACTTAATATACTATGTGTATGATAGTCCGCCGATGACAATTTTGACGCTGAGGTGAACCATTCGGTGCGAGGTATGGAAGTGCTGACCCACTTTGGACTCCGTTTCTTTGGCCGTGATATTACTTTGTTTAAATTAAGCAAAAGTTGAATTTCCACAGATTCGAGATGAGAACTGTGATACGGTACGTTGCAGTGTATCTCTTTTACGTGAATATTATTAATCTGACAATACAAAAGTGCAAAGAAGCATGTTAAAAAAGTGTCGATTTTGGTCCCCAAGCGTAAAGTAAATAGACCTTGAAAAATCATTGTTTGAGTCCTCAAATGACAGGAAATAATAATCGTTTGTCCGAGAAGACTGGGAATATTGCTAGAATGGCTTAAATACAGTAAAAAATGACATTATCCACACATGTAATAGTAATAATTAAAGCCATATGATTTTAATCAGAATTGTGAGTACATTCTGCATGTAAAAATCGCGAACTACTTTAGTACTAAAACCAGGATAGTTCCACTACATGGAAGTACAGTCTACTTAGCATCTCTTGACATAGATCAGGACTCCAACAGTTCGTCACTCCTATGGTATTTATAGTGACTCCAAACTCTTTCTGTCGTGTGTGCGTGTGCGTGTGCGTGTGCGTGTGCGTGTGCGTGCGTGCGTGCGTGTGTGTTGCACGCGCGCGCGCGCACGCGCGCGCACACACACACACACACACACACACACGACAGAGAGGGTTTGGAGTCACTATAAATACCATAGGAGCGAACTGTGGAGTCCTAATGTCTGTCAATTAAGAGATGCTAAGTAGACTGTACTTCCATGTAGTGGAACCATCCTGGTTAGTGCTAAAGTTGTTCGCGATCTTTACATGCAGAATATACTCACAATTCTAATTAGAATCATATGGTTTTAATTATTACGTGTGTGGATAATGGCATTTTTTACTGTATTTAAGCCATTCTAGCAATGTTTCCACTTCTCAGACAAACGATGATTATTTCCTGTTATTTAAGGATCCAAACAATGAATTTTCAAGGTCTATTCACTTTACGCTTGGGGGCCAAAATCGACACTTTTTTAACATGCTTCTTTAATATATGCAGGTATAGCAAATTATAGCTTAAATTTAAGAATTCGATATTTTGAAGATTAAAGCGAAGTTTTTTATCCACTTATGAGATACGAGAGCTATTCAATTCTACCTGTAATTTTTTCATAAATTCTTGCATGGATTCTGTGGGCCCACTCACAACGTTACAGTTCTCGCTGTTGCGGCATATTATTTCAATATCCACTGGACACATGTTTTTGAGGCACTTGTAATCAAGACTGACAATTGCCATAGAGCTACGAATTATTTTTCCTTCAGCACACGCCAAACCAATAAAATATGCTGATAAAATGGCTTGTTCAGTAGTGAGACATCCATCGGCATACGCGCAACCAAGTTCACTAGCAGAGTGACTAATCATATAATCCGGAATCATTCCTAATGATGTTAGAAGATCTACTAAGCCGATCTACAAATTTATATAAATAATTTTATAATTGAATCACTTTGAAGAATTTATTTCTAATAAACCAATAAAGTGCGATAAAATAAATATACTTATATAGGTAATATGTAACAAAAGGCTCATAAGATTATATAAAAATCAATCAAAGAAAAGCGAGCGTCGAGCCGTAACAAGGTGTTAGTGTTAAAAGTTCTGTATTAATTCAAATAATAATAACAAACGTTTCGGACCTTTATCGGACCATCTTCAGTGTCACAAAAACTTAAGTCAAAATCGGATACTTATATAAGATAATTCTAATACGATGAATCGACATAGAAAGAATTTAAATTAATTGCTTCATCAATAAACATAGTATATATGACACTATTTTATGACTTTGAAGTATAATATTTTACCTGAATAGCGACAATGCCAACAAACGCATGCAACGCGTCTTCGCACACTTTTTCGTCTGTTTTCGTCAAAATATCCGTGACACTTATATCATATGGTTTTAAAGTGACATCGCACATTCGTATAGCATTTGCAAAGACGCGAAATTTTAATAAATTTCGACCTGATTTTAATTAAAAATTTATATCATTGTTTAAATGCTACTGTAAATAAAGTATGGAATATTAAATACATACCCATTCCTGGCCATTGCGAGCCTAAAGCAGAAAATATAAACCAAACAGGTCTTTTCGCATTTTCACAATATTGAACTTCCTTCATTGAATCTTGTTGCAAGGTATTCAGTATAGTAAATCCTCTCCATCGATGACCGTCTATACTGTCCGCATGGACGTCGTGTAGTAAACGAATATATTCTATATTTATCGGACGATTAGCGACCTACGATCAAACATTTTTTAAGGTAAAACGTACAATAATGTTTAATTACTCAAATAAATGTTGAAATTGCTTTCGGAATATCTACTAACGTCATTTAAAAACAACTTCACTGATTCTTTAGTGCTCCCAGATAATATTACAAGTCTTGACAAGCCATCACTCGGTGTTCCATTGTTAACTTTTGGTTTAATGTTCCACTTTAATAACGTGTGTACATTAGATCCCCCGAAACCAAAAGAATTGATACCTATGTAACCGTTTTTAAGTGGTATTGATTCTTTGATGACACGAACAGTTCCATTTTTCAAGGCATCTATATCAGTTCGTGGTGATGTAAAATTAATATTTGGTGGAACAAAGCCAGTTTCGAATGCTATTATTACCTTTAAAAACCAATAACAATTTTAAAATATAAATACAAATTAATTTTTTAGATATTGACTCATATGGAGGAAGAGGGGGCAAGACGAGACCCTCTGTATCACGTGATTCAAATCACGTGAATGCACACCAGTTACAATCGAGCATACGCGTTAGATGTGTGTCACATTCGTCACCGACACTGCCGACAGTCAGTAGTCCAAGAGCTGGTGATCAAATTTACTAAGAGGTACCTATTTCGTTAAAGCTGAAAGGCTGTAAAACGACATTTCTTTCTTATCTGAAAAAATTGAGGATCTGGCTGGCCAACATCGGACAGGAGCGCACTCCTAAATTTTCGAAGTTGTAAAAAATTAAACTGGAAGAAATATGCAGCGTGAAGGTTCAAATTTTAACACATAAAATTTTATACCTTTTTAAGTAAATAAAAAATATTGCCAATAAAAAAATATTGCCGTTCTGGTCGGTCTTAACTTAAAGAAAGGCGATTGTAAAGTTGCACTATTAGGGGTGGTATTTAATGTGTTTCGTTAAGGCTGAAATTTTTACATATTGTTGCACTCCGGCGGCTTTCGCACGCTCTCTAGGCACTCCCGCACTCGGTCGCGCGTTTACTCGCGATCCGCGGAATAAGGGAACACAGGTTTAAGGAACGAAAGGATGGTTTATTGCGTATGTTACAATCACAGAACGAGAACCGAAACGTCCGCTCGAGTTTCAGTCCGAAGGAAATCTGACAGCCGGGCTGTATCAACAACGCATAGCAACGCCCGTTGCTAAAGACGCTCCGCGGCGGAAAATACCGGGCGAAGCTGCGAACTCAACGCGAATGCAACAATATTTTTGATACTATCAAAGTAATATATGTGGAAAGCCAGGCCGATCTAATGTTAATAAGAAGGTGGTAAGTGTGTTCTACGTGAGTGCGAAGGTTATGTAAACGCGTGCGTGGGAGAGAGAGAGCGTATATATATGATAAAAGACCTATCGACGCGTCATAAATATATCAATGCATTATAAGATATTTTAACAACTATCAATGCTTGTTTTTAATATTTTTATATATTTTATACTGTATACAGGGTTTCGATTTAATCTGTCCAGGCCGATATCTCCGAAACTATCAGGTGAAAAATTAAAAAAGGTTCCTCAATGGCTTTACTTCAAGATAATTTTCCGCACGATAGAACCCTTTCGTATTAGATTTCAAGGAGGGAAGGACTCATTTTTTAAAATAGAAACCCTCTACAAAAATAACACCAATTGATAGGGCTTGAAAAGACGAATCCAACGACTTATATTTTTATATGCTTATCATGAAAATTATGGCCGCTGTAAATTTTTGAAAATATAGCTTGCGAAGGATAGAGAACACCGGGGCTAGTTGGTACATAGGGCAAGTTGGTACACAGTAATTATTGTAAAAGTGACAAAAGATAATATTGCATAAAAAATATAATATTTCCGCAAAAACATTGCAATAATATTTCAATTAGTTATTTTAGGCTGAGTAGCGTATTTTCATAAATAGAAAATATTTTTAGTTTTGTATAGCCAAAAATAAAATAAATTAGTGATATATTAAATGCAGTTATATTATTTATAAATCTGGTCATTATATCATAATTCTAACTGCTTCTTTAAAATCTTTACTTTAAACGTAATAACTTTCAGTTATGTTAATGTTTTAAAACATTTTTTTGCTTAAGCTATAATCAAAATATCTAAATATGGCAGGTCGGTTCTAGTTTTAACAGGGTAGTCACATTGCTGGGGGATCGGAACCTCGGCGACTGGCGTACTCCCCCTACAGTCCCTGGGATGGATACGTCGTCATCATGCAAAGGGCTACCACCGGTGTTGACCTCAGGCACCGGTGGCGAATCTGCTACCGAGAAGACTTATTCGCATCAGTCTGCGGATGGCAGCCTTTCTGCTGCTATTGTTGATGGCAATCGTTCTTCTGGAGCTGCCGCGGAGGAAGAGCTGAATACTATAACTGAGGACGCCATTACGATTATGCGAGATATAATCGACGCTGATTGTTTGGAGCGTCCTGCCACTGTTTCTCCTAACACTGAGTGCCCTTCGTCGGTGTTGGAACAGCTCTGTGAGGTTGATTTCTTGAACATGGTTCAACGAGGGATGATAGCCGGGATATAATATGGATACTTCGGATAATATTCCGGATAACACAGTATTGGAGCACAGTCCAACTTACGTTCCGGACTCTGAGGAGGAACGAAGTAGATCTTCATATGTCCTCAGAAGTGACAAACCAAAAAGGAAGGCAGAGATTTCCCCGACAAATTTGGAGTTGTCACCTTGTAGGAAAACTCCCATGAAGAGGAAAAAACTTGTTTCTAAAAGGAACGTAAGAATAAACAAATCTAGTAGTACTCCCGTACCGGAGAAATATCTAGTGGCACAGACCCGTATGAGGGTCATGCCTGCGGATGAGATACGTGGACTCGAGACCGAAAGACCCTCTGAGATGGCTTCGGATTTCATCGAAAAGATCGACAAAATAAGAGTCAAAAGCCAAAGCTTACAAGAACCTCTCAGTAGATCGGTTAAAGAGTCTCGTCAATGTTATACTTGAAGTTATACTTTCAACTTTAACGGGAAGTCTGGAGGGTGCCGGAGATACCTCCTCATTGGAGACGCGGGTGAACAACCTTACTGCGCAATTAAATGCCTCCAAGAAAAAGGAAGACAAGATGAGGCACAATATGGACACATTAGAAAAGGAAAACCTCCAACTAAAGAAGGAGATCAAGAATCTTCATCAGAGACTTGCCGCGTTGGAGGAAAACACCGGCAGGACCAAACCTGCCTCTCCCGTTTTCATTTTTGGCGCAAATCCGGAATCTGACGGGATGACTGTGTCCCCGACTGCTGGGGTCTCGGACATGAGACCACCTACATTTACACGTTCGAGTTCTTATATTACTCTCCGGGAACGCCCTAAAGACGTTTCAGAACCGAAGACCACTCCGCTTCCTCAGAAAAGTCCGAGAAATAAGATTAAGCTGAAGCCGAGGATTACTAGTAAGGAAAGCATGTCCACCAAAAAATGGACATTAATTGAATCGGGTGTTGACTCCCGCTCCGAGAGCGAGGCGGGTGGTACTTCAACCGCTGACGATCGCAAACGACCCTCTTACAATGATGTAAATCCTGGCAGGGCCCACCGTATGTCATCCTCAGACTGGATAGAGGATTCGGAGGACGGCTCTACCATTAACAGAAAGAAAGAGCTATAAGAGCTGAATAGTGAGATTAATAGATTAATCGATCGTAGACGTCAGTTCAGTAAAGGGGTGATTATACACGCTAAACCTTTAAAGGAGACTTCGCAAAAGAAGACTCGAAGGACCTCTTTCAGAGACCCGGAGATGAGTGATCCTGATATTGGGAAGAGAAATAGACGCACACCTAAGGATACTAGTGCCCATGCAAATCGTAATGACAAGTCAACTGGTCCTGCGAGAAAAACCATGCGCAGCGGAACACAAAGGAGAGCTCCGAGAACCGCAGCGTTTTTAATTACGGGTACGAATCCCGAGACGTCCTACGCGGATATTTTGAAAAAAGCCCGGGAAAAAATATCATTGGACATATCGTTGGACAGTCTAGGGATTAAAAAATCCCGGATTAGGAAGGGACTAAACAGCGGAATCGTTATCGAGATTCCTGGAACGGACGGAGCATCGAAGGCAAACACACTTGCCAAGAAGTTGAGGGATGTTTTAATCTCTACTGCGGTATAACCAGGCCCACAAAAATGGGTGAAATCCGTCTCTGGAACCTGGATGATTCGACTACGCCCAGGGATGTCCTAAATACAATCTCTGGTACAGGAGATTGTAATGAAGAGGATATTAAAATAGAAAGTCTTCATCGCAAGAACAACGGGCTGTTCTCTGTTTGGGCCAAGTGCCCACTTGCCGCGGCTGTTAAGGTCGCCTCTTCTGGTAGAGTGAAAATCGATTGGACGGTTGCGCGAGTCGAACTATTAAAAGCTAGACCTGTACAATGTTACAAGTGTTGGCGGTTCGGCCACGTCCGCAACATTTGTACTTACCCGGAGAATCGCTCGAGATAGTGTTTCAGATGTGGAACCCAAGGACACCAGATCAGCGGTTGTAAGAAGGAGCTGCGCTGTATCATCTGTACGAGTGCTGGGAGACAAGGGAACCATCGCTTTGGTTCTCTGGACGTGTGTTTCGAGAAAGATACGAATATAGAGAAATCTAGGACTAGCGCTGGAAATTGCCGGTAATAAATGGCGACCATTATCCAGGCAAATTTGAACAGAAATAGGGAGACGCAGGACCTCCTTACTCGATCTCCACGCAAATGAGCTGGGTGCCGCGGTGTGCGTGGTATCAGAGCCTGCCCGCTTGCCCGACACCCAGCAATGGTATCGTTCTTGAGATGGCTTAGCCGCCATATATACATAAACACCCGTGTTGCGGATTACCCTGCGATGTTGGTGGCGCAGGGTGTACATTCGGTGGTTGTCAAGTATAATAACTTACACATATTTTCTTGTTATGTTTCACTCAACGTGGATATCCATGCGTACTCTGATTTTTTGGAAGAGCTCACTACATACTCGAGCGTCCCCCGGAGGCGTTAACTCAATTGTGTGTGGTGATTTTAACGCCTACGCGCACTATTGGGGGGCCAACTTCACGAATTCCAGGGGTAATCTCCTCACCGAATGGGTGGCCCAATACGACTTGCGTCTCATAAACGTTGGGAGTGTCCCCATTTTTTAAAGCCACCAGGGGTCCTCCATCTTGGACTTAATGTGGGCCTCGTCTGATCTTCTAAATAGGATTACGGATTGGACCGTCCGCGAGGATCTGGAATCATTATTTGACCACTGATACGTAACCTTTCGCGTTTTTGACATCTCGCGTAACGTTCCAGTATACCAAAGACCATTGCGCTGGAACTTTAAAAAGATAGACTCTGACTTGTACAAAGCCGC